AGCTAGGTACATAATCACTGATACTACTAATACAGCTGAATAGAACTGTCCTTAGGGCTTTCATATAGAGACTGTAAACCCTGATGTGTGGCAACACAAGTCCAAAGGAAGCATGTTTTGTTCAATTTAAACTAGAATTACTAAATGGTCTAAGAAACTCAGGTTCCTACCTGGTGCATATAGGAATTAAGAGGATTATAGAAATCTGCTACATTTCCTTTAAACTTCATGTCAACAAATAGGACATGATTTAGAGCATCCAGTGCCTGTCCCTGTAGACCAATGTCTTCAATGAGAGATCTCCTACCTACACAGAAAGAGGAAAAGTTATATTAGAATATGCAGTGTGTATGTCAGTGTTTTTCAACCTTTTTTGTGCAAAGGCACACTTTTTTCATGAAAAAAATCACGAGGCACACCACCATTAGAAAATGTTTAAAAAATTTACCTCTGTGCCTATATTGACTTTCACTAACTTAAACAATTGCAAGTAAAAGCACAGAAAAATCAAGTACTGTAAATGCAGTTATCCTTTCCATAAACATCTTTGTGGACTTGCAATGTACTTCTAGAAAATCTGAGGGCTTCAGAAGAGTCAATTCCCTTGCACAGCCCCTTCCCTCCTTTCATGTCATAGCCCTCTCCTTTTCTCAACCCATCCCCTCCCTACATAACTTTTTATTTAGCAGTAAGGGGAAGGAAAAGGTGGATACTAATGTGCTTTAACTGAGTAACAGCTCTTAGTCTTCTGGGGCTGTCTGCATTATATCCAATATGGTGGTGCATGACAGCAGCCTTAGGGCTTTCGGATGTCTAAATAACAGAGGCTTTCACATGTATACAACATGGCTAAAATATGTTAAATTCATATATAATCTTATAGGAAGATGTTTTTGAAATGAATGGTTTGGCAACAGGTTCTCTTGACTCTGTAAAAAAATAAATAAAATACCAGCCTCTTCATTTTTTTAAGGGCTGTTCTGGTCGGAACAGTGCTTGCCTGCCCATACTCATCCTATTGACAGAATGTCTCAATTATCAAATTGATCTGCCAAAAGGAATGTGTGAGGTAAAAGGGAGCATGTAAATTCCGACATATTTAAAAAGACACTAAACTCAGGAGTTAAATCTTAAACATGCATTCAAGTATCTTATACAATACTGGACCTTTTTTGTGTATCAGCAGTAGATCCTCAAATCATCTCTGAATTGGTGCTGACACTGTCCTTCCTTCTGGAGGGTGGCTACTATTGTTCCCCATGGTCCCTGTGTGTGATGTAAAGTAGCCACCGCTAGCTTACTCCTGTGATGGATTACAATCTAACAATTTAGTTTACTAATTTGTATTGAGATTATAGTCCATCATAAGAGTGAGCGTGAAGTGGTGACAACTTTACAACACACAAAGGGACAATGGGAAACAAAAGTAGTCACCCTCCAGAAGGAAGGACAGTGTCAGCACCAATTCAGAGATGATTTGACGATCTACAGCCGAATGATACACAAATAAGGTCCAGTATTATTAAGACTTAGGGTACTTGAATGCATTTTTAAGATTTAACTCCTGAGTTTAGTGTCACTTTAAGCATATCAGTCATAGCAGAGTCAGAAAAGGATACTGGAAGAGCTGTTCAAATACACAAGGTCATCTATATAGAGCAAATGAACCGCCCCATATTTTAAACTAAGATTCACATTTGTGTGTAAAGTCTCAGTACAAACCTGCCTGCAGAGACAGACTAGGGTGTCTACTGTTCTTCGTAGTAAGGTAAGCTTTCACCTTTGCCAAGATATCTTCAATCTGCGCTTGAATATTTGCAAAGCTTACATCTAATAGAGGATTACAATACTGATCAATCAGCACAGCTCCTAGACACAACAAAAGAGAAACAGTTTAAAAATATAAAAATAAAACCACAAAACAAATGTAGTACACATATCGGCTTATGATTTATTAGTTCAATGTAACTACAGGCAAAACAATTTTATATTTTCATTTTGCATTGAGCTCGGAGAGGTTAGAACCTATGTCAGATTTTTATTGCCGACTATCCTCACTAGGGAGGGGGTCCTTCACTGCCGTAGTGACAAAGCAGGAATTGCAGATTAATTTCTCCAAAGCAAACTGTCAATGGAACAAGTGTCCCTGCTGGTAGATTTTCCCATTACTGCCTCAATGACAGACCAGGATTTGAAGATTAATGTCCCTTAAGTAAACTGTCAATGGAACAAGTGTCCCGCTGGGAGATTTTCCCTTTCCTGCTCCTTTACGTTTATGAAAGAGGGAACATACCCATCTGTAAAAGTCACTGTCACATTCTGTTTTGTTTTCTGGAATGCTAGCTAAGGCTAAGGGCAATGGTTGACCAACAGGTGCTCCACACTACTGACACATAAGGATGTAAAAACGTACTCTACCAGTATGACAATCTGTCTTTATTTCTTACAATGCAATGAGTCGGTTATAAAAAGAAAGTTAAGAATAAAAAATACATGGACAGGTTTTTAAAATAAATTCTAGGGATGCACCAATACTAGTATCGGTGCCGATACCGAGTATTTCGGCGAGAACTTGTACTCGCTCAAATGCTCCCGACGCCTATCCCGATACCAGAACTTCCTCGCTGCTCAGCTTCTTGATTGGCCGGGAAGCTGGCTCTATGCCCCCTCGTCAGAAAGGAGCAGGCTTCCCGGCCGAGCAAGAAGCCAGGGGCGGGTAATGACTCGCCGCCCCGGCTTCCTGATTGTTCGGGAAGCTGGCCAATAAGGAAACCAGGCGGCGAGTCATTACCCGCCCCCTGCTTCCTAATTGGCCAGAAAGCCGGCTCCATGCTTTCTTGTCACTTGGTGATGAGGGAGCATGGAGACGGCTTTCCAGCTAATTGGGAAGCCGGGCGGCGAGTCATTACACGCCGCCCAGCTTCCGTAAAGGGACTACCAGTATCCTTTTCAGAATTGTTTTTCATATTTTGTTATTTATGTATTTTACTTTACTGTTAGGGAATCTGGGGAAATATCAGCGGTCTAAACAGACCCCTGATATTTCCCTTTTGAAATAGAAAACGGGACACAGAGTCATCAATCTCTTTTTCTGCAGCCCCTGTTATGAATGAACAGGAAGGCTCTATACTGAGTGCTCCTGTCCATTCATAAATTGTGAATATAGTATGAGTTACTATGCCCACAATCATGAATGAACAGGAAGTGATGTAGAGCACTTCCTGTTCATCCATAATTAGGGACACAGTAAACATACTGTGTCCTCAATTATTTACAAGCACTCAGCGATCAGCTGATTATGTTGAGTGCTTGTAAACGCTCTCCATCCTGACTCTTTTGGCTGTCACGGGAGGCTGAACCGGCGGTGCAGGGAGGAGAGCTCTGCCTTCTGTGACACGGCTGACAGCTGACTCCTCCCCAGGCTCAGCTTCCCGTGAAGTGGTCTCCTCTCTGCTCTCCATCCTCAGTCTCAACCTGTCACAGAAGGCCAAGCGGGGCAGTGCGGGATGAGAGCTGGGGCTCCTGTGACACACTTGACATCTCTTTCCCCCCACCCTGTTAGGGCTCCTGAAGGTTTCTCTCCTCCCCACTGGGCGCAGAAGGGTCACAGACAAGTGCCCAGCAGGGAGGAGAGAAACTATGGATGCACCGCAATTTCAGCTGAAAAAGTTTACTTTCTGCATTTTGCTTAAAGATTTTTAGTGGCCAAAATTTCAATACACACACAAATATGAGCAACAGATTATCTACTGCATTACATGTTTCTGATTTGCACTTTTATATTACCAAAGTAGCATTAGTAAGATTTTGTCATTTTTAAATTATAACGTTTCAGAGGCAACCAGGAATAATAGGAGACATACCTTCTAGAATATCTTGTTGGTCCGCAGGTCTTTGAATAAACTCTTTAAATTTAGACATAGTAGACTCTTGTCGCATGAAATATAGAATCTTCTTTGCACAATACTTCTGTATGAAACACTTCCTATAATTATAAATTGATCATCAGCTGTACTTTAAATGGCCTAAAATAGAGGTGCATATTTTATTTCCACAAGGACAAAAAGGTTTACATTTAGCACTGTTCTAGGTTCCCTTCAATGCAGAACGTCATCATTTTTAGATGTTTTAGTCACAGGCACAAAATGTTTCTACCCGTGACCCTAATTAAAAGACTGTAAAACAATTTTCCAAATTTACAGCAACACAACTATGTCATACAAGTTAGTGCTTTCCTCCAGCAATTCAGAATGACAGATATTTGGGTATACAACTTACAGATTGATCTGTAGTGTTCAAAGTTAAGTTTAAATGTGCTGTGGCTGTATACTAAGCAAAGTAGACAACATGGTCCCCTGCCAGCATACTGCAGAGAAGGACCCTTGCTCTCTATGTGGAAGCAGTGGTCTCTCTGCAGAGTTCCAACACTCCCCCCGTGTCAGACTTAGAGCAATTAGCAAAGATCCTAGTCCCTGCTGATTATAAAACTGAAATAAAGTCATTTTTAACAATGCTCCAGGTACCTATGGCTCAGAATGACACAGTAGTGTTTGATCCTTCACTACTGTGTCATTCTGAGCCTGATGAAGGGGACCCCCTGAGGCCCCGAAAGCGCTTGCATTTGAATGGCAATGTGTCAATAAATGGACTGTTGCTTAATCATCCTTTGGCGTGCTGGTGACGTTATTGCTTTATCTAATGTGAAACGAGGTCACAAAGGTAATCTTGGCCTTTAAAAATGGACCATGAGGATCCTGGTAAAAAATCCAGTTGACAATTGAACTTTGCTTTTCAGATACTAGGACAGTCTGAGTAAATACAGTGCTTCATATAAATATATTACTGGGTTCAACTAGAATCTGACAGCTATATTCAAAGACATCAGCACTTGTAATGATAACTTACCAGCTCTCTATACCAATCATACACAATAACTCATCTTCAATAAAATGTACAGGATAGCCCAAACTCTCGAGATCATTCAAACCTTCACAAGGTAAATGCTGATGGAAAAAAATAAAATAAGGCGTTACAATAATATATCATTAGGTATCAGATCGGGACAATTTAGAACTATACAAGCTGTAATTCTAAATTGCACGCAAGACCAACATAGTACATGGAAATAATTATTTTAAAAAATACAAACTGTAAACGTTACACCCAATAATAACAGATATTCCAGTTGTTCATGGTTTCTGGTAAGCTGAATCACATGAAGGATTTTTTATAGCCAATGCAAAGGGAGGAGATATAGCCACCAGAGTCCACAGTTCCAACTGCCAAGGCTATAGAACCGTGTCACATTCTCATAATGGATTCTCCATAATATACAACAAATAAATAATAGAGGCATTAAGATGTATGAAAGTGATATTCAAAGTCCAGTAGATATCTCATTGCACTCCTTGCCAGTATACCTCTTGAGAATGGGTGATGGAGTGACTGCAAATGGTGTCGCTCAATGCCCAAAATAGTCTTTATTGACGCATGTTCATTTTGTCACAAAGGGAGCAATGTTTTGGGGCCACTTTGGGTCCCTTCATCAAACACAAAGCCTGATGAAGTGGCCCCAAAATATTGCTTCCTGTGACAAGATGTACTGTATATGCGTCAATAAAGACGGCTTTGGACACTTGCTCCCAGTGTGCTGGTGACATACTGTATTACCTAAAAGGACACATTTGGGGGGGGAGGGAAATATTTTGTCTACCCATAAGGGGGACAACTCTTGCTGTTCTTCCAGAGGCTCAAGCTAATGTTTTACTTTGCAGCATTGACTACCAGCAAAATCTGGTTTTGCAACAGAATTGTAAGCTCATATTATATTCAGATAAGAATATCTCTAATAACTTAAAGTGACATTAAAGTCAACATTTTTCCCCCCTTCCCAATCCTGCTGTAGGGACTTACCTTAAATGAGGTCTCTTAATCCGATCATCTTATTCTTTATTGTCCTTTTCAGCTGTCCCTCCAGCGCTGGTGCGGGTCTCCGATCCAGCGCCGACTCATCTGTCCTCCTCTTCTCTGATGTTCTACGGATTCTGTGCGGGTGCACGCTGCTCCATAGACTTACCTTGTGTATCTCCGCCTCTCCCGGCCGAACATCTGAAGTGCGCATGCACACGCCAGAGACTCTTCAGATGCGCGGCGAAGACACAAAGGTTTTAAAAAAAAATGTTTTTGCATATATCTACTGCTTGCTAGCAGTAGATTGCTAGCAGTAGATATATGCAAAAACATGCAAGGGTTTAATAAACCTTTAAAAATGAGTTTATATTTTTCAGGAAAGTAAAAAGGTTTTCATTTTAGTCTTAGAGGACGAAAAGATTCCCACATTCACTCATACACAAAAATATACACACACCAATACACAATCATACATACACACAAACTCCTTCTTAAAATAAAAGAAAGAGCCCCCTCACCTGCTTACATTTTTTGCAGGGAAGGGGCGCATTCCCTTGTAGTCTTGTGGTTGATCAGCACAGTCTGCACCTTTGGCTGGTGCAGACCTTACTAATCCTTCCTTTCAACTGGCGCTCAGTGAAGGCTGTCGAGTCACGTTGCGCTCTGACTCACACTGAGCGCTAGCACCGCCAGGGGCAGCTATGTGGTCTGCATCCGACAGAGATGTAGACCGTGTAGCTGCTACTCCAAGTCAGCTATGCGGTCCATGGCTGTGCCTTACTTGTCAGCCGGCTGCAGAATGCATGGTCCTGGTTCACGGGCCTGTACTTTGAGACTCCGGTTCTAAACATTCAGATTTCTTTATTTACAGACAGCATTGAAGTTGCAAAAATAAAACTTACATGCTCCACAATGAGTTCCTTTGAGAATGAGGATACTAGTTTTCGTGCGGCTATGCCAGCCTTGTACCGCGTTTTATACTCTTCCAGCCAGTCCGGAGCATCCACATGCTTATAGTACTTGATTATTGATGGCCAACTACATAAAACAATAAACACTGGGAGTTATCTTGTGGACATGGATGTTGGCATAATAGTATCTTAATATTAAAGAATACCGGGAATTTTTTTCCGGAACCCCCACACTGCAAGGGTTAATTGCTCATTTTAGTCTAGGGAGGAAAATAAAGTTATACTCACCCAATCCTCCGAAGCGGCTTGCTGTTAGGCCGGTCCTTCCAGCCTCTCTCCCCCTCCGCAGCAGCACTCTAAGGTCCTGTAAATCATCACGTTCTATTCACAGTGCATGGTACATGAGGACGCTGAGGGACATACCATTGCTGCAGAACAGGAGGAGGCAGGATGGAGAGAGCGCGGTCACAGCCAGCTGGCTCTGAGGATCAGGTGAGTATAACATTATTTTCCTCCCTAGACCAAAATGAGCACTTAACCCGTGCAGTGTGGTGGTAGCCCCACTACAAAGGCTAACATTAACTTTCCCCAGAGTTCTGCTTTAAGTCTATTTTTGGTTGTGAATATATACAAGGAATATTATAGCTGAGCTCCAGGCACATCCCAATTACTGATTTTACCTCCCTTCCCGTGGGAAATGAATAGCACAGATTAATTTTTTACTTTTTTTTTCTTTCAAGCCCATCTTCCTCTTTTCTTAATCACAGTGCTCTAAAAAGTCTGAGCAGTAGGGGCGTCAATGAGGAGGGGGTCTGCTGGGCACCCTACGTAATTTCCTAAGTGACACAGGCTGCTCTGCAGTACTACAGATGATAAACAACCTTGTGCCTATACACAGTTCTAGGCTGACTCTTGGTAGTAGAGGATGTGCCATACTGTATGCAAGTGACCCCGCTTTACAAGGGGAGACCATCTCTGGCACTGTGGTGAGCATAAATAGCACATTATTTGGCCAGTTTGCAGTCTGGGATGTGCTAACCTCACTTAATAACTGAATATACATTGCTGTGCACTACAGCTATTCCCATTTGTTTACATGAACCTGAAACTTCTCCAGTCACTTCTCAGCTTGTCAAACCTCTGGGAGAAGTGGCTGAATGAGTTTTTGTCTGCAGCACAGGTTAACCCTTCACAGAGAAGCTGGGCAATATGCTGTGATTAGCTATTGAGAGGGGGAAATCTCTAGTTCCAGCTAGAGGGCTGGAGTTGCCCACCCCTGCTGTAAAGGGAACCTGTCCCAACACTGTGCTATCACATACAGAGCAGGATATACCTACAAGTTGCTTGGCTGTTATTCTGACTCTCTGGCTTTATGACCTTCAGACCCCGCCCTACGACCAGCATACATGTAAAGACTTTTGACATCTCTCATCTGCATTCTTGTTTGATGTCTTTGAGACCAAATAACAGGCAGGCGATTAGCAATTTCAGAAGAGAAAAGGTTCAACTATAATTCCAAATCTATCTGCAAAAATACTAATTGTTGCACGGAACAATACATCAACACGTTTAAATACATATTAATGACTTTCAGTATATAAGCGACTCTAATCTACTGGATATAGTCCCAAAATTTTATTAGTAGTCACTTCTTTCTCCATACATATATTGGATTATTGGATACAAATAGTGTCATTTTATTCCACCTGCATAAATCAGAATAAATAGAGGAGTGATTGGAATGGAACTTGGATATTGTGTGGGGTGATTGCACAATATCCAAGTTTAATTTTCACACACAGCCATGCTACATACAAAAGATGACAGCAGCCTGGTCATTAAGGTAAATGGTGGGATGAGGGATCGGGGTTGTGATGTGATCGTGTTTCATTCTAAATATGGCTGTAACATAAATACAAAAGTAAACTCAATGTTAGCCTTTCTGTAGATAGATTTGGAATATAGTTTTCTCTTCTGAAATTGCTGATTGTCTTATTCTAGCTCAAGAACCTCAAACAAGAATGCAGATGAGAAAGTCTTTATTTGCATGCTGGTTCTAAATCAGTGTCTGAAAGCCTTGAAGCCAGGGGATCAGAATAACAGGCAGCGTTTTCAGGAGAGCTCACCGAGTGAACAGCTGCTTCCGCCACACTTTCCCCCGGGTGACACACACAGATCGGAGCCGCCTGCACACACCGCTGACACTGGCGATGTCCCGGTAGTCCAGATCCCCTTTACACATGATGAGCTCCACTAACTCCTCCGGCAACCCCGCCAGTCCCGGGCACACAGGCAGAGTCCTGAGCTCATCTGCCGGGGAGCAGCTCCCCGTACTGCCCGGGGAATCGCTGCCATCCCGCAGGCTGCTCTCCGCATCTACACCAGCCAAGGAAGCAGACATCTTTTGTTTACATGGCCGACACGTTATAGGCGAGCCGGTAGTCGCTCTGTGATGACGTGTAAGCCGGATTGCGTAATCCTTCATCTGCGCGGGACAGTGAGTGGGGAAGGGAAGGACAGTGGGTGTTGGCAGGGAATGGCAGTGGGTGTTGGCAGGGAATGGCAGTGAGTGTTGGCAGGGAAGAGCAGTAAGTGGGGAAGGGAAGGACAGACCGTGGGCACAGGGAAAGACAGCGAGTGGGGAAGGGAAGAGCAGTGAGTGGAGAAGTGAAGATCAGTGAGGTGGGGAAGGGAATGACAGTAAGTGGGGAAGGGAATAGGAGTGAGTGTTGGCAGGGCAGCACAGTGAGCGGGTAAGGGAATGACAGTGGGGAAGGGAATGACAGTAAGTGGGGAAGCACAGTAAGTGGGGAAGGGAATGACAGTGTGTGGGGGCAGGGAAGCACAGTAAGTGCTCAGACATTATATCGGGTTTCTGTCACTGTTTAGGGTTCTGCCCCTGGAAAGGTGCATGCGGGGAAGTAACCCTGGTTTCTCTCTTGATTAATGACAGTGTAAGCATCCTTGAAATTTTAGCTCTCAGGGACCCCTATTAAAACATTATTATACACCATTTTTTTGCACATTGTCCTAACTCCAAGCTGTGTTAGTTTGAAGGCTTATTGGATTTAAGCATATCAGGTGATGTGTATTTGTGCAATGAGGGAGGGTGTGGCCAAAGGAGATCAGCACCCTATATCTAGGTGTGCATAATAATAAGGAGGCTTCTTTTCCTCAGGCAAAATGGGCCAAAAAAGAGATTTAACTGACTGAAAAGTCTAAAATTGTAAAAAGTCTTTCAAAGGGATGCAGCACTCTTGAAATTGCTAAGATATTGGGGTATGATCACAGAACCATTAAACTTTTTGTTGCAAATAGTCAGCATGGTCGCTAGAAACATGTTGAGGAAGAAAGATGCAAATTAACTGGCAAAGATTTGAGAAGAATCAAACGTGAAGCTTCCAGGAAGTCATTATCCTCCAGTGCTGTCATATTCCAGAACTGCAACCTACCTGGAGTGCCCAGAAGTACAAGATGTTCAGTGCTCTGAGACATGGCCATGGAAAGGAAGGCCGAAACACGACCACCACTGAACAAGACACATAAGTTGAAACCTCAAGACTGCGCCAAGAAATATCTGAAGTCAGATTTTTCAAAGCTTTTATGAACCGATGAGATGAGAGTGACTTGACAGACCAGATAGATGGGCCCGTGGCAGGATCAATAACGAGCACAGAGCTCCACTTTGACTCAGATTCCAGGAAGGTGGAGGTGGGGTACTGGTGGGCTGGTATTATTAAAGCTAGTTGGACCTTTTCAAGTTGAAGATGGACTCAAAATCAACTCCCAAACCTACTGCCAGTTTTTAGAAGACACTTTCCTCAAGCAGTGGTACAGGAAAAAGTCTGCATCTTTCAAAAGACCATGATATTTATGCAGGACAATGCTCCATCACATGCATTGAAGTACTCCACTGCATGGCTAGCCAGTAAAGGCCTTAAGGATGAAAGAGTAATGACATGGCCTCCTTCCTCACCTGACCTAAACCCTATTTAGAACCTATTTAGAACTGGGCTCTTCTTAAACGGGAGATTTTCGGTGAAGGAAAACTGTGCCCTCTGTGAACAGTGTCTGGGAGGCTGTGGTTGCTGCTACACAAAAAGTTGATCATCAACAGATGAAGAAACTGACAGACTCCATAAATGGAAGGCGGAGGACTGGTATTGGGTATACTGGTCACTGATTTTGTTTTTGAAAATGTCAGAAATATTTATTTGTAAATATTGAGGTGTTTGTTTATTATTCTCACTTTAACAGATGAAAATAAACAAGTGAGATAGGAAAATTTCCGTTTTCCATTTAATTGCATAATAATCCTGCAAACTAAGGCCCCATTCATCGTGCGAGAAGTCGTTGGCCAATGCTATTCAATGGAGCTGTCTTAGCTCCATGTCGCTCTAGCAGGACTCTTTTTTCGGCGGATTTTGCGCGATTTTTCTATTTTTTAATATAGCTATCCCGGCCGCGCGGATCCGCTGCAAAAGGTATGTCGCTTAGTGTGAATGGGGCCTAATAGTTGCCCAATAATTGTGCACACATAGATGTTCTCCTAAGACGGCCAAAACCTCACTTTTACTTTCTTAAATATTCACGTTTGAGGTTTATTACTGAGAGCACTATAGTTGTTCAATAATGAAATTAATCCTTAAAAATACAACTTGCCTAATAATTGTGCATGCACTCTGCACGGGGAAGCATATTTTGAATAGCTGCATGGCATCAGAACTGACAGTGCTGCTCTAGGGGGAGACCCTCTCATGTAGAAAAGTGGAATGCATGCGGTGACCCACTGAACACGGGATCGTGACCCACTTTTGGGTCATGACCCACCAGTTGAGAACCAAGTCCCTAAAGGAACCCTGATTGAGAAAGACTGCATGTGGCCTATAAAAGAAGGTGTGTTTTCTACATCTGACAAGTATACCTAATCCTTAGTCTGTGAAATGGTGTATTGAGCCTGTCTGCTTCTCACTTGTTAAGCATTGTCAATTTGGGACCACACTATTCCACTGATTTAAATTTTTGCTCCTGGTGTCCATATTTAAGAAAGCATTCACAGCAGTGACTGTAAACAAAGAAGCATCCAGCCATTCGTGGTCTTAACATTCCACCTTTTCCTACGTATGCCACACAGTTTTTTTATACTGTATTCTATTTATTGTTTCTAGAAAGTCTTGGGAAAAGTAAATACTAATGTTGCTGCCTGTGACTACTTTGGGAAGATTTCCCCTCACTTTCTATTTCTGTGAAAGCAGGACAGGAAATTAGGGTTGTCATTGGGGCAAAAAGACAGACAATGATAATAACCTAGCTGACTCCATTTTAGTGATAAAAGTGTTTTGCTGTGTTCTGTACCCTTGCTGGATAAAGACTACAATACAAACCTGGCAGAGGTTCTCTCTCTTCTCAACATTTCGGCAACAGCAAAATAGAATAGATTCAAGAGAATGGTGAGATTTTGTTAGTGGCAGGTGCTCATATTAAAGGAGAATTAGTCTAACTGTCTCTAAATATTACATACCGTGTTTCCCCGAAAATAAGACAGTGTCTTATTTTGTTATAAGAGATTGCTAAGCCCACTAAAATGTTTCAAGAATACTAATACACTGTGAGAAGAATTTATCAAAACTGGAGCAGCTGTGCGTGGCAACCAATCAGCTTCTCTCTTTCATTTTTCAAATCTTAACTGAACAAACTGAAGAGAGGAGCTAATTGGTTGCCATATACATCTTCTCCAGATTTTGTCTGTTCCAGTTTTGATAAATTCCCCCCAATGTATATTCACCACAGGTGTGGCTGCTTTTTTAGAAACACATACATACATGTTTATGGTTAATCGGCCATAACGTTATATAAAGGCAGCTTTTTTTCTAATATGGAATATGCAATATTAGATCTCTCTCCACCATCCCATTTGTCTGACATCACCAAATCCCCCCCCTCCTCCCTGGGTGACATATTTAGCACTATTACAGGGCACATGCTCAAAAAGTGTTGCAGCAGAGGGTGTCTCCATAAAGAGGACTTGTCACATATTTTGCTATCACATAGGGGGGTTTTATTAGCCCCCGTATGTGATGGCAATGAAGTTTAGTGGAAAAAAAAATAGGAAAAAAAGTCCCCCACCCCTACATACGCGCATGCAAACATGCGTCGGGGGCGCATACGTGCAAAAAAGACGATTGCGCCCATTACGCCGCACATGTTACATATCGCCGCGAACGTCTGAGTGAGAGCCATCAATCACTGATAACACTAAACTGATGAGCGGTAGAAGCTTTAAAGTGTCGCCTATGGCCAATTTTGGGTATGGTAGTTTTCTGCGATGTCGCGGGTGCGCGCAATTTTAAAGCTTGACATGTTTGGTGTCTATTTAGCCGACGTGACACCGACTTTTATATTTTACCAAAAAACTGGGTAATAATAAATGTTTCCTAACATAATGTAACAAAAAACTTTTTTTTTTCAAAATTTTCAGTAATTTTTCCTAATTATAGTAAAAAATAAAAACCCCAGTGGTGATTAAATACCACCAAAAGAAAGCTATATGTGTCCCCAAAAAATGGTATAAAATTCATTTCAGTACAGCGTTGCATGACGGAATAAACGTCAGTCAAAGTACCGCAGCGCTGAATACTGAAAAATGGCCTGGCCAGGAAGGGGGTCTAAACACCTGGTCTTCAACCAGTTAAATAATCTATTGCTGGGCTTCAATCTCAAATCTCTGGCCTGGGGGATCGCACTGACCGTATTGAATCCTATGTGAGTGGATATGCGTCGGCATATAATTACCTGCTGGATGCACTTAACACCCAAAATCTTCTGGTGCAGAAGCTTCAGGAAAAAGTAATTGACCTAGAAGACAGCTCAAGACGTATCAACATTAAGTTCAGAGGAGTTTCTGAATCCGTGGGCTCTGCGGATCTTCTCCCTTTCCTCCAGCAATTCCTCAAAGCTTTGCTTCCCGACCACTCAGCAACGGATTTCATTATTGACAGAGCACACAGGCTGTTTAAACCTCAGCATCTGCCTGCTTCCATCCCCAGAGATGTCATAGCCAAAATTAATTTTTTTCACATTAAAGAGAAGCTCACCTTTCTTACTAAGCAGTCGGCATCTCTTCCAGAGCCATATTCACATATCGCATTATATGCAGACATCTCTGCTGCGACGGCTCAAAAACGTAGAGCATTTGCTCCGATCACCAAAGCCCTCCGAGACAGCAGAATCCTGTACAGTTGGGGGTTCCCGACTAAGCTATTGGTCACCCGTCAAAACAAAGTCTTCCATCTTGACGCCCATAGACGGCATATGCACTCTCCAATCGTGGTGCGTCCCCATTGTCATGCCTCCACCCATGACCGAGACCCATCAGACTCAACGCATCCCCATGGACTGGGCTATGCGTTGATCCCCTTTCACCACCA